TATTATTTAATATTCATAATAGTCATAGGAAATAAGTATTATTTCCCCTCATTTTAGAAACATGAAACTAAAATTTAAAGAAGTTAAGACTCTTGTAAAGCAAAAACAGTAAATGAAATAAAAATCTCATGTGGGGCTTGACATGTGGCTCAGTTGTAGAGTCTTTTCCCAGCATGCATGAAGTCCTAAGTTTGATCTCTAGTACTGCAAACACACAGACACACACACTAAACTCCAAGCTCAACTAAATTACACACTACTAAAATGCAAAGCCAGCTTTAAAATATGTATTTCAATCCTAGAAAACATCAAGTATTAGTAAAATAATATTTGGAACTAAAAGAATTGGGTTTAAACCTTTTTTTCCCCCAAAGTAAAAGAGCCTTAACTATCCAATCTCATTCCCATAATATTAAGATCATTAACTCACTACTTCAAATAAATAAGTTTCTCTTTAGCTCTTTATAATACAAATTTCATTCCCACATTTGTTCTTATGCATTCTATTTCTCCTATTTGAAATATCCTAACTAAATATTTTTAGTTTTTTTTTATTTTTGTATTTTCTTCAAGTTCTAAATCATCACTTAACATAATGAAACTTTCCCTTCTCTGAATCTTTATTGTAATTAACCATTACATAAATATCCACATAATTCTGTGAAAATTTTTTATACCTATATTTCTTGTTTAACTTCTAGGTTCAAATCCTTCCTTCATTACTTAGTACCATAGTTTTTGAACCAGGGTTATACATCACAATCACCTAGAAAAACACTCTACAGATTCTAAATTAAGCCTGGGATAATACATTTGTTAAACAAACACAATTCCTTTGCATTCCCCCTCCCAACCATCACCTTCCTAGAGAAGAGTAAACTGTATTTCCTATAAGTGCCAATTCACTGAGCACTAGCACTCTTCCCTTCTCTGAATGTTGACAGTACATATAAAATATACATCCTGTGCTTGCTCAGCTCATTAATACCTTAATAATCTTAAATGTGGCAGAGGCCCTTCTCCATCTTAATTAGCCAGAACTGGATGAGCACTCATTCTTAACCCTACTAACAAATGAGCTTTTCCTATCTACAAGTCTTATTTTAGGCCTATATTTTTCTCTATAAAAAGAGAATAAGAAATTCTACTTCATAGGATTATTGTGAGGACTAAGTGAGACTGCATCATATTTCACATAAATAGCTTGACATAGTATCTGAGACACAGCAAGTCCTTAATAAACCCTGACAGGAACTACTTTGTATTTTTTTTTTCTATTCCCTTCTTATACAACACCTAAGATAGTACTAAGCCTGCAACAGCAACATTAACTTATGTATTTGGTGACATGGCTTTCATACCCGTCTCTTCTGTGCTTTCGATATCCGAGGAGGCTGATTTTCAAGTGCCAAGTTTGAAATGTTATCAGCAACAGAATCTATCTGAAGGAAACAAAAAGTATTAACAAGTCAATTAAAAATACTTTAAAATTATTCAAGCATTAGGTCACTAAATTATAATGAAAAATCACATATACTTCCAATTGATATTTCATATTTGAATAGCAGCACTAGACATCAAATTAGATAATATTGTTTGTCTCCTTTCTCTATTTTTATGAGAGAATTTATTAAGAGTCCCAAGAAATCTCCTTACTGTTCTTCAAAGACAATGGTTATTCTACATACCTTCCTTCCTTCTTGGAATGTCTACTCCATTAATCTAAATACTGTACTTTCTATAATTGCCAATTCATTTGAGCATTGGCACTCTTCCCTTCTCTGAATGTTGACAGTACGTATAAATTATATGTCCTATGATCGTTCAGTTCATTACTACCTTCATAACCTTAAATGTGCCAGAGGCCCTTCTCCATCTTAATTAGCCATAACTTGATGGCACTCATTTTTGACACTATTAATAAATGAGCTTTTCCTAGCTTTTGCTATCTACAAGTTGATAATTATAGGCAGAAAATATTTATAGTACCATTAGATATTATAACTAATTTTAATACTCAAATGGCTACATATGTATTTGTTAAAGTAAGAAAATCAGATTCTTCATTTCTTCTATTAGAATGAATAACTAGTATTTAAGTATCTACACATTAAGCTAGTTTTTAGTATGACATATACATAAAACTCAAGGCCTCTAAGACATGCAGACAAAAATCTCAAGAGGCTACATCTCCCAATTTATCAAAATATCAAAATCAGATAAAGACTTCAGAGAGTGGTTACCAACTTGATTGAAATTAAGAATCTTAAAAGGATTTTTCAAAAGATTCTACTAAAAGTCACAGCAATATTGAAAACAGGCAAGATACAGAAAGGCATTTGAAAAACAAAAAGCAATGATATAAGAATTTAGGTAGGGTTCAAAGAGAAAGCTTGTTTACTTTAATGAAGAAGATAATAAATCAAAGTAGAATGGGAATTTGTATTTTAACAGGTAAATATGTAGCTTAACCATCAAACATTTTTGTCCTTGGAAACCTGGGGAAAAATCTCTATAATGAAGGCCTAAGAGAGGAAACAAAATTATTTTGCTAACAGAAGTGATTAGAATAGCATAGTAAAGACGATTACGAATATCACAATCATGACAACACAATTAAACACCTGGAGAATCATGCCTTGTTTTCTGTAGATAAAAGTAATTATAGGACAAAGAAGCCCAGGATCCTGTTGACAGGCAAATAAAATTAAAAAAAGAAATTGAAACTATGTTTAATAAAAACTACTGTAAATCAGTATAAATTGCTTCCCTTGTCAACATCAAAAATGAATCAAAGAAAATTCAATTGTGGCAGAGAAGATTTTATATAAACATAAGAACTTCCTAACCACCAAAAATGGTGAGGTTCTAGAGTCTATGATCCTTTGTATGCAAAACCCTTGCAATAAACTGCTATACTATACAGGCTATGACAGTATTCAGAAAGAATAAGATGGTTCTGATTTTGACCTCTGCTTGGCACTTTATAGCTGTTGTGACTTCATAAAAAAGTTTTTAAATCTCTAACCATCTTTCCCACAGGAATCGTGGTATTATCTACACTTGATTCACCGATAATATCATAGAGTATTACCAAGGATTAAGTAAAAAAACACATGTAATATGTTAAACAAAGTGGTTGGCACATATAAATTAGCTACAATGATAAATATTAGTTCAAATGATGGAAGTTAGCCTGTTTACATTTACCCAAAAAACATCAGTAACATTTCATTTATTACAACTTATTCATAAAGCATTTTCATAATTTAAAAATGATTTCACATTTGTTGTCCCATTTGATTTTTATAAGAACTTGTGATTAGACAGCAGAAGTATGTGTCATATTACATGTAGGGAAATTTATACTCCAGGATAAGGAACTTTGGCCAGGTTAGAATCTTATACTGTGGCAATTCTGAGACAAGAAGTCTGATCTTGCAACTTTCATTTGGTGAAGCTTTATCAATCTGCTCATTTTCTGAGTAAGTAAATAGGTAAAGAAATGTACCTTTCTTGTTGATTTCCTTGACAAAAACTCACTGTCATGTTACCCTGGCCTCAAAAATATTAATAAAAAATTATGCATGAGTATTACTGAGTGACTTCATTTCTATATGAATTTCATGATTTTGTATAATAAACAGTTGTTTTCAAATGATGTAAGCAGAGATAAACATTATTTCACATGCCTTATTCTCCTTGCAAGTCAGTCTCAATTGCTCCAGTTCCTCTTTATGTTTCTGTTCCATTTCTTTTTCCAACTTAGCAACATCTTCAGTGAGTTGCTTCCTCCTTTTTTTGTCATTCTTGGGAACAGCATTCTTCATGCCTTGAATTTTGGCTACAAAAGCACCAAAACCATTAAGTCAGGAATAAGAGAAAATGGAAAACAGTAAACAAATAGATGGGAAGGGGAGATAGGTACAGAAAAAAGTAACTACAGAAGCAAGAGGTCATGACATATAAGCTACAGAGAAGAGCCCAGATGATGCTTGAGACCATATAGGAATACAAAAAACAGCCTAAACAAAATCTTGAATTGGTGTAATTTATTTCGGGGGACAGGAGGAGGAAAATGGAAAAAAAAAAAACAAACATTAAGTGAAGCAAGTTGTCAACCATTTAAGTATCCCTTCTGAGCCCTCCAAACTGAGGTGAGGCAATTAAAAACGCATCTAATGGGGGCTAGAGATGGAGCTCAATAGAAGAACCCTTACCTAGCATGAGCAAGGCCCTGGGTTGTATCCCCAGCAAAGTAAACACACACACACACACACACACACACACACCCCACTCATTAAGGTCAAGCATCGGTAACCAGGGCAGAAAATGGGGAAGGGAGGCAGAGTGGAGTTGGGAGAGAATCAGATTTGGTCCAAGACTTTGTCTCCGCGGTATTCTCAGAACTAGCAACTTGGGAGGCACAAATTAGTGGTAGCAGAGTTCAGAAGAGAAAGCCTCTGAAGGCTGCGGGATTAAGGCGCCTCTGGTCGGGGGATGAGGGACAGAAAAGGCCACTCCTTACTTTGGGTAAATCTGGGAGGATCCAGGTCAGTCACCCCTTCGGATTGCCCAAAACCTATCTGACCCGCGCCTTTCCCAAGCTTCTAAATTCCTACTTCCTATCCCATCACCTTGCAACTCCTTCTTCTCTTTGCGATGCCTTCTCATCAGCTGCTCCTCCTCATCAAGCTCTTCGCTCAAGTCTGATTCCATGACGACCGGGTCGCCGGGCACACGCGTTGGAGAAAACCTGCAGCACGAGCCTAGCAGACACCTTCCACCCCTCAACCCTCACCCAATGCGCCATTGGTCGCCGCTGAGACCCAGCCCCGCCTTAGAGGCGGCACCAGATCAGAGATCAGCCATTGGAAAGAGGAGGAAAGTTGAGCGGGGCTTTGCGCACGCGCATTATGGTGACCCAACTCGATGGGCGGGGCAGCGAGGGAGGAAGCGCGGAAGTGTAATCCCTAATTGACTATCGTGCTGCAGCCCCGTCGGCCGCACAGCTACGCGGTAGGCTATTGGCCCTCGCGGGAGGCGCGGGGAGATGACATAACGGGAACCATTTTGGATATTATTCAGTTTTGTGCGGTGCTTGGAAGGTACTTCGTCAATTTCGAACTTCGATGATTTTTGACTGCCTTTGCTCAGAAGAGCTGTTGGAAAGGTAAGAAAAACAAAACATTTTAGTAAAACCGTGGATGATTATTATTAATGGGGCTTTTGGGGCTACGTCCTTATACAGTAGAGGATTAAGTTCGATTGTTTTTTTCAAGGTCGTAATACCGCAGTTCAGAAGAAAACCAACAGACCGTCCCAACCGAGAAGATGCCTCCTCTTGAAGCGGATATACCAGTGGTACCCGTGGAAAAACAAGATATGGAAAGTATTAAGCGTCGTATAATAGAGGAGATTAAAGACCTGTGCTTAGTGATGAGGAAAGTTATGTCAGAGCACTTGGAAGGCTTCAGGGAGTTCGAGTTAACAAAAATGTGTAAGCCGGATTGGCCACCAAGTGAGACAACCAAAGTAAATGCCAAACAAGAGGATGTAGAGAAAAGGGGAGATGAAATCAAGACAAGAGGAGAAAAAGAGAAGGGGGATCCAGGAGAAACAGCCTATGCATAATAGAAATACCTGAAACAGGACAGAGCAAATGAAGCTGAAATAATAAAACTAACTAACTAACTGAGGAAACTTTTCCAGAGTTGAAGGTCTGCAAATGGAAAAGGCTCACAGGGTACTTTTAAAAATTTAATGAAAAGGAAGCAACGCCTAGACATATTCTGGTGACTTTTTAAAATTTCGAGGATAAAGAAAAACTTACAGATATCCAGACAAAGAAAGCAGGTTACCGAGAGAGCTGCAAAACTCAGGCTGCCCTTAAGGTTTTTCTTGTGCAGTTCTAAATGGCGGAAGACAATGGAACGGTATCAACAAAGTTTTGTGGGTAAATCATTTTGAACCTGGAATTATATACCCTGCCAAGTTATTTATTTATTTATTTTTCTGTTTGCAGGCAATTGGAAGATAGATATGCAGAGGTTAAGAAAATATATATCAACTAAGAACCTGCTCTGAAAATCTTGCTGATTTACTGCAGCCGGTAGAGAATGTGAATTAAAATAAGTAGGGAGGCAATTGTATGAAAGAATTAATGGTAAGCATTAAAACTAGTTAAAGAGCATTGCATTTCCTTTGTTACATGTAAGGTAATAAAGGTAAATATAAAAATAGATTTGTAAGCAGCATGTAAAATTTTTAACTTTATAGTTTTAAGCTGCCAAAAGGCAAGCCAAATACTCAAATGTATTGGTCAAATATTGTTTTATTTTTGCCATGTAGTATTGTAGCTAAAAACACATGTTGTTAAGAAAGAAAAGGGCTTTGTCACTGTGGAAAGGACATGTACAATAAAATCTGACAAAAGTTGGAAAATGGCAGTTTTATTTCCCTATATGTTTAATTATAGAGTGAAAAACAAAAACTGACAAGTTTGTCCTTATGTATCAGTATCATTAATATTGATAATGTAGGAAAAAATATTCCAAACCACTGGTGGGGAAGGCTAGATAAAACCTTGTTTGATATACTGGATTGGGAAAAACAATAGTTACTCTGTCATACAGTGGTTGATGTAAGTTAATTTGTCATGAAATTATGGACAAAAATATAATATATACATTCCAAGTCAGTCTATCTTATGCATCAGCGTTGCCTGAAAACTTACTAGAAGTGTGGTATGCTAGGTCAATAGCATCATGGTATTAGATTATGAAATACTAGCTAAACATCTTCAAGACTTTTCCCTTAACACAGTGCAGCATACATTACAGATACTCCATAAATGTTAATCGCTATTGGTATTAACTAGAAACAGTTTTGCTTAAATAGTAGTATTGTAGAAGAGATTCTAAAATTTTAATCTATATTTGAATTAAAGATTTGGTCACATTTCCCAAATATTCCAGTTGTTAACTTTTGGGTAGACTTAATTCAATCCATGTCCTGATATTTCCTAGGTCTCTGGATAAAACCAAAGATCTATCTATAAAAGTAACCAAAGACCTGAAGTAATCATCTAATTGGTGACATAGATAAATAGAAGTATTGGCAATAATTGCAACAGTAGCTCTAGTAAGTTATGAGCCTTTTTAAATTCTCCAATGATGATCTCTGAAGGTGATACCACCATTGTATTAGTAAGCATGGACTAACCCAGTGGTTTTTAAACTTGAGTGTGCCCACCAATTGCCTAAAGATTATATTAAGATGCAGATATTGATTCATTTTGTTTGGATTAAGATTTTTCTTCTAAACTCCTGTGTGTTGCTAATGCTGTCTTCAGAGTTCCACACTTTGAAGTAAAACAATATAAAACCTGTACTTACATCTATTGACCATGAAAACGAAGCTCAAAGCGGTAATTGGCTTAAGTCATGTGGTAAATATCAAAACCAATTCTGATTCCAAGACTAATTTCTTTCTCATAATTTCTTCCTTTCATCCATCCTACAGCATCTTTTCAAAAGATTGTTGTAAAAATAAGTGATATAATTATTAATCTGTTTGAGAAGGAAGAGAGCTCACTACTTCAGACAAGTTATACTGAAAATGGTGTTTCATAAAGAGGAGAAAATGAGTTTTGTTTGGAACATGTTAAGCAGGCTTTGTGAGAGTGACATATATAAACAGATCAGACAGGTATTTGCAAATTAATTTCGAATTTCACTTTATTATTGACTAATACAATTTCAGTGTTAAGAAAAAACAAAAGGAAATAAGAAAAGGAAAGGAGATTGAACTTTTAAGGAACACCTGTATATAATGGGTAGTCATATTTAGATTTGCACTTCAAATTGAATTAAATATTGAAAATAATGCATGGTAGTCAGTGCTATACACGAGTAATCAGAAGTATGGGGAGATTGTGTTAGATTTGTTTTTTAATTTATAATTTGTGACCTATTTTTAAAAACCTATAATGACATACCCATTTTTCCTTTATATGATTCAAAGTAGTTCACTACTTCGTATCTGTGTGTAGTTGATATCAGTGGTAATGTTCTATAAAAACACTCAAAAATATATTTAGTTCCTGGATGCAGTGGTGCGCACCTATACTCATAACAGCTCAGGAAGTCGAGGCAGGAGGATCCCAAGGCCAACCTGCACAATTTAGTAACAACCTGTCTCAAAAATAATGTAGCTCAGTGGTACAATACCCTGGGTTCAATCCCCAGCATGGGGTTGGCAGGATGAGGGAGTGGAGAATTATGAAATTATTGACTCCTGAATCATGGCAACTGGAAGAAATACAGAATTGGATTCCTGGGAGCCTCCTCATATGATTTTTGTCAACCAATCAATACCTTGTTTCAAGAGAACCTTAAATATGTTTTTGATTCATTAACCTTGAACTCAGATCCAACGTTGTAACTTAGTCCATAACAGTTTTTCTAACAAATTATTAAGGTATATCATAGCCACTTTTGTGCTTAGGGGCAACTAGATAACACTGTGCTTGAAGGAGACATTTTAAACAGCAAAATCGCAAAAAAAATAATATATATAATTTTTTTTTTTTTTTAAAGAGAGTGAGAATTTTTTAATATTAATTTTCTAGTTTTCAGCGGACACAACATCTTTGTTTGATCTTTGTTTGTATGTGGTGCTGAGGATCGAACCCGGGCCGCACGCATGCCAGGCGAGCGCGCTACCGCTTGAGCCACATCCCCAGCCCCTATATATTATTGACTAATACAATTTCAGTGTTTGGGGCTGGGGTTATGGCTCAGTGGTAGAGTGCTTGCCTTGTACGTGTGAGGCACTGGGTTCGATCCTCAGCACCACATAAAAAAATAAACAAAATGAAGGTATTAAAAAATCTACCAAGTTAAAAAATATTTAAAAAAAAACAATTTCAGTGTTAAGAGACCAAGTTTGCTTTTTATCCTGTTAGATTTCTTGAGCTAAATACACTTCTTGAAATACCATAGGTAATAAATATGTTTACAATCCATAAACAAAATAATTGTAAATAAGGAGAATAGAAACTGCTTTAACATTTTTTTAAAAAGTATGTGCACTAAATATAATAAATGGAATGATTCTCTTTTCTGAAATATTAATTTGGAAGTAGAAATGTACCTTATTTCCACTTTTCCAGTGAAATGTCAACCAAATAATCGAATCCCAGAGTCATCACAGCCTTGGGTTTAGACTTTTCAAAATTTGGATTTTAAAAAATTCTCCGTACGCTACTGATGAGGAAGGTATTTCCAAAAGAAACAACTTACTCCTGACTCTTTGTTTATTAGTGTTGTCTTTTATTTGCAGTACTGGGGATTGAACCCAGGGATGTTCTACCACTGAGCCACATCCTAAGCCCTTTTTATTTTTTGAGACAGGATCTCACTAAGTTTCTGAGGCCGTTCTCAAACTTGAGATCTTATTGCCTCAGCCTCCCAAATTGTTGGGATTACATACAAGCAGCACTATACCTAGTAATAGTGTTACCTTGAACAGGGATTAGCAATCTCCCATGCCACAGGAGATAGAGAATATAGCTTTGTGACACCCTTGCCACCAAGAGATGCAGTGTGATGCATTATTTAAAGCAGATGTTGGTAGATTCCTGGTCCCGATATCTTGTGAAGAGAAAAATGAGTGGCAAATGAAAACAGGTCATTAGCTTCAGGTGAGTCTGCTAAAGATAGATAATTCCTTATCAATACCTGAGTGTCCACCCTAGTCAAAATTTAAGAAGAGGTGGGTTTTGTCTTCAGTATCCTCTCTCCTCCCCTTTATTGTCCCTGTCCTGCCTTCCCACACTCTTTCCCACATGCTGCAGGCAAATAAAGTGTGTGCCCTATTTTTTTTTTTTTTAAAGAGAGAACTCGAGAGAGGATTTTAATATTTATTTTTTAGTTTTCAGCGGACACAACATCTTTGTTTGTATGTGGTTCTGAGGATCAAACCCAGGCCACATGCATGCCAGGGAAGTGCGCTACTGCTGGAGCCACATCCCCAGCCCCATGTGTGCCCTATTCTTCATCCAAAGGTGTTCTCTTTACTTACACTAAGCAAATCCCATGTATCCCAGTTGTGTATATCTTCCTACTCAAAAAGAGAAAAAAAAAAAAAAAGAAAGAAAGAGAAAAGGATGCTCCTGGAGATTCTAGTTAGCTGTGGTGATCTGAGTTGGTGAAAAGATTAGACCTATTTAGGACAGAATGAATGACCATAGCTAATAAATGTAGTGTAAGCTTTTCTGTAACTTTATATTTTAAGAATGATTGTTTCTGAATGTACCTGAATTTGGTAAAATTTTGAGAATTCAAGTGAACAATTTTACAAATGTAAGATAAATTATAAATTTGGGTGGTGGGCATCTCACACCCCTTCTTAACACATGCTCTTTCATCCATGCTAAAATAGAGGTAAAAGTACTGACAATGATACCTTAAAATTTTGATAATCTGTGAAAAATAAATCCTAATAAACATTTTAAAAATAAATCCTTTTCTAAGCCAGATGAAAATGATATTAACTGAATCTCATTATTTATTCCCTTACCTCCTTCAGAAAACCAATTTGGCTTCACCTTCCTGTATGCTCTTCCATTTTAAAAATGTTCCCTACTAGTTCTCTGAGAATTGTGATCAGAGACACTTCATTGTGTTACTGCCATTAATGTCCTTAATATCTAATGGGGAATTCACATGGAGTAAAAGGTAGAAAAGAAGTGAGTATCCAGAAACCTGATAATTTGGAAATATAGTGATGAGGCAGAATGCATTAGACCCCAGAATTCATAAAGGAATAGCAAATAAGAAATAGAGAATTACTGTTGAAAATCAACTTCATTCCTTATGATAATTAAACATATAAGTGTAAGATTAGGCTTAAAAAGTATTTTTGACAGTTAAGAAGCAAACAACACACTAGGAAAATATTTACCTCATTTATTAATAGGAATATAACTTCCAAGTTTTTCAAGACTCAGGCTGTGTGATGGGGAGAATATTCGAAGAGGAGATTTTCTGGAAAACTGGAAACAAGGTTTTATACATTACAGATACATTGTAAAAGTTTGATGAGCTTTGGTAAGACTGGTGTTGTGATCTTTCAGAAAAGGGATCTGAGAAAGATTTGGATCCGGTATGTTGTGTTCTTGGAAGGAATTCAGAAGAGTGGATAAGTCTTTCAGTACCAGGGAGGTCATGGGTCAGTGTGCAGTCAGAGGATAACATCTTACATTTCTCCACCCAGGCAGAAGATAAACATATTGAATATATGAAAATAAATTTTTCATAACTTTCTCATATTTATTAGTAGGAAAACCTACTTCCTGCTCTAACTGATAAATCCCAAAATCTCATTGGCTTAACACATAAAGTATTTCTTGTAAAGGAAACCAGTGTTCTTAGTGGGCA